TGCAGGGGGGGCGCAGCCCCCCTTGCCTACATGCTTACAACACACGAAAAATGTACACGGTGTCGAAAAACAATAGTTTATTCATGAAACTTTTTTTGTTCATAAGTTTTTTATAAACAATGAGCGACGGATAAAACCTTCATATTATTATTCAGGGAGGTGACCTTGATAACATATGTCAAAATTGTTGAGATCGGAAAATAGTCCGTATAACTGCATAATTACCAAAAATTCTAATAATGAATTTGAAATTGATCAAATGTATTTTATTTCTTTATACATGTTTTCTTTGTACATGTTTTATTTCTTTAGACTTGTAATTTTTCTTTACATATTATATATACTTATATTATATATATATATATATATTATGGTATACATTTTTCATTATAGTATAAAAATACATAATTTATATTAATATAAAATATATACTGTATTTAATTTTGCGCGCAAGTATATGTATATATACATATATACATATATATATATATATGTATATAAAATAAAGAATAAAGAAGAAAACTGCAACTGAACATCATTCACTTGAAAATAAAATTTTCTTTGTTAAGCGATGCCGTTTGCAAATTGGTTTTAAGATTTCATTAGAATAAAATTTAGAATAAGAGTGCAATCTTATGTTTATGTATCGTGTTGCTATGACAACTATTAGTCTGATTTTATGCGAATTTTCGAAAGTATTAAAATTCTCACACTTTAGATTTGGAAATTTGTTATTGTCTAAACTCAATACATTTTTTATTTTGCTTAATACTTTTAAATTAAGATTAGGATATCTGTGAGATTGCTAAAATTATTTGTTTGTTTGTTGATTTGTCGCTCTGTTTCTGTTATGATTTTATATACACTATTATTTGGAATTATCAAACCTCCAGTATTAACAAAATTTAAGAACTTAGAAAAAATACTTGAATAGACATAATTATGATCGCTTCTTTGCTTTTATAAGATGGCACAAGTATAACAATCTATCTGCGACAATAATTGTTTTATAATGTATCCAGCAATATAAAATAAAATATATTTTTTTAATATGTTACAACTCAAAAGTGAATAGTTATTAAATGTTTCTGTTTCATTGTCACTTTCATCGTCTATATTTTAAAATATTAAAGTTTGTTGCTTCTTTTTCTTCCAAATATACTGAAAAATTGTACCAATGGGATCATTATCTAAATGTAAACAGTTGCTATTTGGTGAACCTTTTATTCCATTTCTTAGAAGAATTTGCCTCATGGCATACTTAAATTGTAAAACATTTGGGTTGTTATTGAAGTCACGTTTACTTCTAATTTTTGAGAAGAATATTTCTAAATAATCTTGCAAAACTTTGTGTTAAAATATATTTAAAGAATTCTCTTTCTAAAAATATTTCTTTTGCCACAGCTAATATAGATTTGACTGTTGTAGCCATTCCGCATATAAATGTTTTTCTTCACTCATGCAAAGCATTTTACCATCTATAGTTTGTAATGAGAATAAAAAATTTATTTTTTCAATGATCATTGTTTCTGTTACGTCCTGGACTCCACGGGCTCTTTCATTTTGCAACGGAATATAATTATTAAGTCTAACGATAATTCTAAGAAATAATCCTTGTAACAAATTCCTAAAAAGAGAAACAAGAGTCAGCCGAGATAAGATAGACAAGTCCGAACCGGGTGCTATATTATAAACAAACCTAGCCGGACGTCATATTATAAACAAAATCTAACCGGTATCGATGAGCAAAGGTTATCGCCCCTTAGAAGAGAATGTGATGAACAAAGATTCTTTATACGCAAGCTACGCGCTGAGAAATTTTGGGCATGACACAGCGGCTCTCGCGACTCTGGAAAGGAAATCGAAAATCAAGGGGCTAGAGTTGCGACTCGTAGACATAAACAAGATAGAGCACGTACCGATAAGCGAGATCTAAACAACCGATGATCCTATCGATCCGGAGAATCAAACGAAAGGGGAAAAGGTCTTTGCCCCGGCGGTCAACGAACAAGAGGTCGAAATTTCGAAAAAAGACGATGGAGAAGGGGAAATCAACCCGCATGTATAAAAGCCCTGGATGCTCGATCAAGCATTCATTAATCAGTACGCAGTTTTCCAACACAGTTTGATCTTCAGAGAATAGTTCCTCGCGATAGAGTCAGTGATTAACAATCAATCGGTCAGTCAGTTTGAATCAAAGAAATTTCGCAAACTTCCCATTCGTCGAACCTGCTGAGGATGCCGCCGACTTCCCTTGCGATCATCCGCGAGCAGCGTGAATCCAAGCGAAACAACTACGACCAATCACCGAGCAACCTTGCCAATTTCCAGCATCACTATCACCAAAATATATCACCGAGTACATTGTAAGTCTCACTAATACAGACTCAAACACCTTTTGCATTTCGATATGAGCAGCAGTCAAGATCATCAATTCTTACAACCATTTCTAATTCTCGACACACAACGTAATGTAATGATTCCGAGTTCCGTACTAACAATCATGAACATTTATCCAATCAATAATTCAATAATACTGACCTACTTTTAACTGATTATCTCGGTTTGCTACTCATAGTCAAAAGAACAGCGCCTATGTTAAAATAGAATCTTCCGAACAATAGACCCTTCTCATTTTACGGAGACGGATCCGACCGACGACCCGTAACTAACTAGTGTCAGTGTATTTTAACAAGAAATGATTTCTCGTAAACGCACTCCGGACTTAAGATTCTCTATTAACTTTGATCCAGCTCAATAATCTCGATGTCACTACAACAAAACATTCCGCCGCTTGTAACAATACGCGGAGATCTCTTTAATAATAATCGTTATAGAACACGAATCGTTGCACCTGAACTGTACGTGCCAATTTAAAGCAAATTCATGCGGAGTCTACTTATGTTTTCCTTCAGTTATTATTACTGTTTTAACCATCTACTTAAAGAAACAATTATGATAATACTTCGTAACAAATCCGGCTTTGATTAATTTAACCCTTATGGACCTCGTATAACTAACAAACTACTACTAGTAAACCACACTCACTTAACAACCTGTTCATTCCTCAATAAAAATCGCGTGGTTCCGTCCTTGGTAATTGAGACTCGCGTCTTAGACCTAAAAAGGAACCGACGAATGAGAATACGTTAGACAGAGAAAATCGGGTAACCCCGTTGGCCTGTCTGCGTTGCCGAACTGTCTCGCTTGACCCGCACATTCCTGACTTTCTTCTTTGTGTCAGTGTGCCGGGATAGACTTCACGTTCGCTTAAATGTGTCAATGCGTCTGTTGCGTACTACCACTAATGCCCGACCGTAACTATAGGCTCAGGACGTAACAGTTTCTAATGCGTTTAAGTTATTTTGAGTTATAGGTTGATGAAATCCTTTTTCAAAAGGATTTCTTGAATTCATAAAGTCAAATAATCTGTCTATAACCTTAATAAATGTTATTATTGCTTCAGAGTTGCAAAATTCGGGACAATATTGTTTTAAAAATTCAATTGCTGTTGCTACAGATGAGCTTAACGTTTGAGCGGCATATTTAACTTTCATTTTGTTTTGCTACCAATTAATGCATTGAGAACTTAATTTGTTCTTAAATTTAAAAGTTAATTAATTTTGCATTTGATATAATTGTATTATATATCGCCATTCAATATTACCATCACTTGTAAGAAATTCTTTCAAATCTGCTAATGCATTACGAGCTAATTTCAACATATGATACGCATCTAGTATGACATAAACATTATAATTTTGTGTAGAATGCTTAAAACTCTCTCTGTTAATAATAGATTCATAATTTTTTTCATAAATATTACATCCTAGCTGATTAAATGTACTTACATTAATGGTTGCGCCGTCGCATGTAATAGATCGTACTTTTAACTCACTATTACTTGTCAAAGATAAGGCAAACAAAATTAATTCCGCAAGTATAGCGCCAGATATAGATTTTTTCAAAAAATAAGCAATAGGCCATTTCCATTTACCATTAAAGGCAACCAGCATAAATACTAATGCTTCATTTGCTAATGAGTCTTT